ACATAAGGGTTCCGGTTAAGTAGCCTAGACATAGGACCTTAACCCGAGGTTGCGACTATTTCCATCCTAAAACTAAGATATCTCTCATAATAGACATATTAGGGAATGCCTTAGGACTTTGAACTTGCTTAGACATAAGTCAAGTGAAAAGCGTAGTCGTTGGTTCCTAAAGTAAAATGCATAACGTCCTTAGCGTATCCTTGATTCTTTGTTGACTAACTTGAAGTAATTCGGGCTAGGTTTTACCATTATAAGACCAAATCCCAAATCCAAAACCCTTATTTGTGACCACTTCCCATTTTACAAGAATCACTCATTTCAACGTTCACTATTCATTAAAACTTTAGAGTTTGGAAATTATTTAGAAGTCCTTGAGGATCGATACTTGGATACTCCATCCATTTTATATTACTCTGACAGGTGTGCGCTTGCATCTATAGAATTGTTACCACGCTTAGTGCGTGCGTTCAGCATAACCTCAGTCACACCCCACCGCGCACTTCGCAGTTGCCTCCTCCATTTTTTCCAGACAATGACCTAATTGTTCTCTTTGTTTCCTCTTATTTATTATATAATATTAGGATCAGAATCACAAATTCTCATTTCGTCCTTCACTAAGAGCAACCATACTCAGGTAACATGTCAAAAACTCAAAGGCCACAACTATCTTCAGTGGTCCCAATATGTGATGATGTTTAAGTATGGTGGTACGTGAGAAGACCATATCATAGGCAAAGTAGTTTCACCCAAGGCTGATGATCCAAAATTTCGCACATGGAGGGCCGAAAACAACAAAGTAATGAGTTGATTAATCAACTCCATGACTACCAAGATTGGGGAGAATTTTCTTCTATTTCAACTGTCAAAGAAATTTGGGATGTAGCTCGAGCCACATCCTCCCATAAGGACAACACTACTGAACTTTTCCAGATATAGACTACTCTTTGGGATCTCAAACAAGGCAAGGCGACTCATCTGTTACGTTTTATTATACCACTTTATCTTGCTATTGGCAACAATTAGACTTGTTTGACACTCATGATTGAAAATGTTCTATTGATGGTGCTCTTTTCCGAGAAATTGTGCAGATAAAAAGGATTTTCAAATTTCTTTTGGGCCTCAATACATCTCTTGATGAAGGTCCTTGCTCGAGGAAATTCTCAATCATATGGTGATAACTAACAACACAGGTTGACCATGGTGTGACCATTGTTATAAACTAGGACATATCAAAGGTGTTGGGTTTTATGCCCTAAACTCGTGGTTTGTAAACATAAAACAAATATTCATTCAATAAAGTTGTTATTGATAGAATTGCATTAACCCAAATCCAATAACTAACATTCGAGGTTATGTCATGTAATTGAAACAGTATATAACATATATAGAGTATATATTTAATATACATCATATATATTTGATATACAGTGTATATATATATAGTATATATTCGATATACAAGTGGATAATGTTCTAGTAGTAACCTAAAAAGTCTATAGTATATGATAAGGTTGGGTACTTTATCCTAGTAACACTGTGGATACGACCCACTTTGTAATAGTTACAAATGACTTGATCCAGGTCGTTCGTGTGGAGACATGCGAGTGGGGGTATCCTATACAATGAGTTTGTATAAGACCTGACCACAAAATAATTAATCTTTAGCTATAACACCGTTAGCTAATAGATTAATATTTCAATAGGATGACCAGGTAACTCGATCTCAATCCTGAGTGAGTTATGGACTCCTGCCTGTTAGGGCTCGTCCTTTGATTTGTATGGGTGAGAGTGGCTTGAGTCGCCGACTCAATATGCCTACCATCTCGAGGACGAGACCGAGTGCGGAGCTAGGAACATAACTACACAAGATGGAATTCACTTCTTCCCGACTTCAGGGTAAATAGATGAGTGTTCTCTTGAGTGCTGACTCCCAGACTTGAACAAGGGGCCCCACCCTCTCACTGGTCCGAGAGGGACTTTCCGGTTGTGGTTGGACCATAACCGGATTGTTCATTAGATGATCAGCGGTACTTAAGGTACAAGATGTAACACAAGGGTAAAACGATAATTTGACCCAACTGTGGTTACGAACACTCGTGAAGGATTGACTTATCGTCAATGGTCAAAATCCATGGACGCAAAATATTCTACAATGAGAAGAGTGCAACTGCGGGTCTTTAGTGGAGTGACCGACAGTTAACGAATGTTGATTAATATGGTTAATGAGTTA